ACCTGCTGTAATGTTCCTTGTGTGACTAGGCTACTGATTTTTAAAAGCTGGAAGGCACTGTAGTAGAATGTCAACTACTAAATGCAGAGGGAATAACTGAGGGAGAAAAATCACCATTTTTCAACTACCCAACTAATAACTGATTCGGGCAAGGAACATGAATGGATGGTAAAAGTGTCAAAGTCTCCCTGCACAGATGGCTTATTAGTTACAAGGAGAAACCTGGCAGACACCATCTGAACCAAGTCTGCATCTCCAAGAATAAGAGAATGCTACTACCATCAACGCACAAGCCAACTCTAACACAAGGAAGTATTTGGAAAAAAACAAATTAAGGGATGTTTTGCAAAACTGGCCTGGACTCTCCAAAAGTGTCAACGTCATGAGACGCAAAGGAAAAACAAGGAATGACTCCAGATAAAAGGAGATTAAGGAGATGTGACCAGTAAAGCCAATGGATAATCTCAAACTAGATACTAGATGAGGGGGAAAAAACTGCAATGAGAAACAACATTGGGACAAGTGAAAACTGAGTACTGACGGTATATCTGACAACAAAGTTTTATCAGTCTAACTTTCCTGAATTTGCTGACTGTAATATGACTAAGGGAGTGTCTTTGATCTTAACAAGTACATGCTAATTTACTCAGAGAAGTCGGCATGAAGAGAAGACAGAAATAAAGCAAAAGTGGAAGATGAAGAGAAATGGCTGAAGGTGTACAAACGTACAGTTCAACAGAAGTCAGCTCTAATATTCAACAGTGTGGTAACAAGATTGACTGTATATTTCAAAACAGCTAGAAAACAATTCGAGTATTTCCAACACAAAGAAAAGATAAATGTTTAAGGAGAGATAACTCAAATACCCTGATCTGATCATAACATCTTATATACATGTATCAAAATATCACAATACCCCACAAACACGTAAAACTATTGTATATGAATAAAAAGAAAGCAAATGTGTGAAAATGCGAACTGGGGACTGAAGAGAGCATAAGTTCTCTGTACTATCCAAGCTGTTCTTCTGAGGTCTGAAATTATTTTTAAAAAGGTTAAATTTATTTACTTTTTAAGAGACAGGGTCTCATTCTGTTGCCCAGGCTGGAGTGCAGCAAATGACCACTGCTCACTGCAACCACCACCTCCCAGGCTAAAGTGATCCTCCCACCTCAGCCTCCCAAGTTGCTGGGACTACAGGTAAACCTCACAACATCCAGCTAATTTTTTTTAAGATGGGGTCTCACTATGATGCCCAGGCTGGTTAAAAATTTTAAGAAACATTAATATACGATTTCTGCCCATAAGGATGTTATAATCTAATGAGAAACAAAATACATTCCAGTAAATATAATGAAAAGCTTTACAGTAAAATATTATCAAGTTTGGAAGAAGACATTTCTTTCGTTAGGCATTATCAAAGTTTCAGAGACAGAGATGATCTGAGCTTTGAAAGATAGGGAAGAAAAGCAGTTTATATCATATAAAAGTGATACAGAATTTCCTGATTATCTGAGAATATACTTCCCAGAGTGATCATGACAAAGAAAGAAAGAAAGAAAAAGAGAGAGAGAGAGAGAGAGAGAAAGACAGACAAGACAAGACAAGACAAGACAGAGAGAGACAGAGAGAAAGAGAGACGGGGGAGAGGGAGGGAGGGAGGGAGGGAAAGAAAGAAATATTTGTGGAAATAAAACTAAAACTACTGGCACAGTGATGATATCTCCATATGAGAAGGCAGTTGTTCTCTGGAACTACACTGTAACCAGCCTACCACCCTAACTGTGTTTATAATCCTGTCCAAATTAGAGGTTTATAGTTGATTCATCTTCAAACAAGACTAGGATCTGATCAGCTTTACTTTCTACCTTAACATCTTGCATAGCTGAGACCAAACTGATGGATAAAATCTGTTTCAGACTCAAGAGCACTGTGTGCTTGTTTTAGCCAAAACCAGCAAAGATGATGGGTCTTAAAACTGGCCGTTCAGGGCTTGACTTAACTCAAGGACTAAGGGGTGAGCAAAGATATGAGGAAATGAACACCCAGCAGTGGAGTGGTTTGGCCTCCACCTGAGGGGCTGTGTTACCACAAGCATGAGCCAGAGATCAGGAAAGGTGGCATACATCTCCACCCAGGTGTGTCAGCCTTGCTGTTAGCTGGAGTTCTCAATGACAGAAGCTAAGGCCCCTTCCATTCTCCTTACTCTTGCTAGAAGAGAACTATCCTTGGCTCTGTATCCTCTCTGCCTGGGGAGACAGTAAGCACATCTTCCCCTTGAGTCAGGCATCTGGCTTTGCCACCTTTAATGAGGGACTATACCTTCAGGGAAAAGTAACTTAGGGGATAAAGGATCCTCAAGTCATGTCTTATTAAAACAGGTATCATTTTTAATTTGACCTTCTTCATCAGCATGGGACTTGGCACACTCTGCTGTTACTTTGGACCAACTAGAAAAGTATTTTAGGGCCTTTTATTTTCCTATGGATTCTCCTTGTGACTCCAGACATGTTACACTTTCCCTAACTTTTATCTGTCCTGTGTCCTGAGGAACGAATCAGAACTCTGGAGGGAGGATCAAGCACAGCTGCAGATACTGATAGTTCATCTTACCTCTGACCACAACCCCCTAGAGCTAGTAAAGAAACCAGAGGATTCACAAGTCTGATCAGACATGTGACTGATTATAATCTTATTAACATCTGGCCTGTTGTATCCTATATGTCCTATAGCACCTAGCACATACTTTGTGCTAGTAAATTTATTTGTGTTGATTAAATATTCTAGGCTCATACTGCTGACATACAACTCTAAGAAATGGGAGGTTAAGCCGGGCGCTGTGGCTCATGCCTGTAATCCCAGCTCTTAGGGAGACAGAGGCGGGAGGATAACTTGAGCCCAGGAGTTCAAGACCTGCCTGGGCAATACAGCGAGACCCTGTTCTCAAAAAAATAAAGAGAGAAGAAGTGGGAAGTTAAAGTCCTACTAAAAACTATTCATTCCAGCCTAGTCAACAGAGAGAGACATGTATATATATTTTTTAATTAGCTGGGTGCCAGGGGGCAGGTGCAGGAAGACTGCTTGAACCCAGGAGATCAAGACTACAGTGAATTATAATCATGCCACTGTACTCTAGCATGGACAACAAAGCAAGACCCTGTCACCAAAAAAAAAAAAGTTTCCTATGAGTACATGCTTACAATGAAGTACATAATTTTTGAATGATAAGAAATATTTTCCTCATTTCTAGAAGTGAAAACGCTTCCGTGTTTGTATATTTAACATCTTACTTGCCTGTAAAGGAGTATATTTGACATTTACCAGAAAGATGATAGCAAATAACAGAGCTTTGGTAAGGAAATTATATATTTGCTGATTATTAGGGTATAAGTAAATCCCTTCAAAACCTTACCTGACCTAATGCCAGCCAAGGAAGGCAGCAAGCAACCTGAAAGCAAGAAAAATGCAGCTGTGTCGATCTAGACATGAGAAACCCCTCTCATCAAACATGCTCTGTATAACTGAGGTAAAAAAAACATTAAGCTGGCTGGAAAGAGTAGCTCGCATCTGTAATGCCGGCACTTTGGGAGGCTGAGGTGGGAGGACTGCTTGAGCCCAGGAGTTCAAGGCTGTCAGTGAGCTATGATCACATTACTGCACTCCAGCCTGGGTGACAGAGTGACCCTGTCTCAAAACAAACAAACAAACAAACAAAAATTAATCATCCTGGTGAAATCCTCTGTATGTATTATTTCTAGGACTTTGAGGTTTTTTTGTGTGGTTTGGAGGGGTAAAACCAATTTCTTCTGTCAATGAAACTCTGTTCCTGCTTTCAGTGTGAGCAACAATGGTTTAAAACAGCAACAAAAACTGCCCACAAAACACCTCCTTCTCTTTACTGTCTATAAAAACCAAAAGGTTTTATGTGAAATTTGTACATAGAAGTCACCCAGAGCCCATTTATTCACGACTGATGACTGTGCTTCCCTCACATAGGCCTCACTTTCAGTAGCTCCTCTTAAGAATGAGACTGAGGTTAAGATTTTTTTTCAAGAACCTATATTTGGTTAGTCTCTCTCTCTCTCTCTCTCTCTCTCTCTCTCTTTCTCTCTCTCTCTCTCCCCCTGTGTGTGTGTGTGCATGTGAGAGAGAGACAGGGTCTTGCTCTGTTGTCAAGGCTGGAGGGCAGTGGCGCAATCATGGCTCACTAAAGCCTTGACTTCCTGGGCTCAAGTGATGCTCCCACCTCAGCCTCCTGAATAGCTAGGGACTATAGGCACATGCCACACCTGGCTAATTTTTTGGTACTTTTTGTAAAGACTGGGTTCTATGTTGCCAAGGCTAGTCTCAAACTCCTGGCTTAAAGACATCCTCCTGCCTCGGCCTCCCATAGTGTTGGGATTACAGGTGTGAACCGCCATGCCCAGGCAAATTTCTCACTATAAACTCAGCAGCAAAGTCAAATAAAATGTGTAATGACTGACTTACAAGGTGACACACAGTGACTTATGGCAAAATTGTATGTTTTATTGAACTTTAAGTCTACTGGTTTGTCATACACACTAACAAAGCAGTTAAGCATCATTCTCACAGATAAAATATTAAATTTGAAATGGTAAGTATAATAGACACAATGTTTAAATATCTACTGAAAATGTGTGAGTTTTCTAAATAGTAGAAATCAACATTGTAGAGCACTGCTAATCAAAAGTAGCAGGTCATCAAACTATTACCATCCCATGACAAGATCTGGAGTCTAGGCCAAAATGTCATCAACACTGAGAAAGTCTAACTATGAAAAAAATAACTGCACTAAACAGCGTGCTTAGTGACGCAGGTTGATTTACATTCCAAGGCAATCTTACCATCTTGTCACTGACAGGTGAGAAGTTTGCACACAACACATGAATAGCCCAGTTCTAAAGTATGAAAGCGCTCGTTTAAGAGGAATGTATACAGATATCATCGGTTTTCACAAAACACTGAAAATCTGTAAATACCTGTTCCTGCAGGTCGTAGTCATAGCTGTCATGCAGCAGAAGACTGAGGACATACCGAGTGTAAATCATGGCATCAATGCCACATTTCTCGAGCTCTTGTCCCAGCCAGGTCTGCACTGGACCCAAAGCATGAAGCAGAGACATTTCAGAAACAGACACAGGGCCTGGATAAGAACTTGAGGAGCTTTCAGATGACAAACCATCCACAACAACTGTACAGATAGGGTAGATGAATTTAGGTTGCCGACATCCTTAAAATGTGAAGCATTTTCTGCAGTTGATATTCTGTTGGTATCTGGAGGGGATTTTCACTCCAGTAAAAAGGAGAGATGCTTGACATGTAGGAGAAGCATTTATTTTTGCTGGTAGTCAGCCACCTAAAACAGACTTTCCCTCTTCAGGCATGACCAATCAATCAACATCCTGATAGCAACAGACATGTAGATGGGATTTTCTACTTTAATTTCACATTGAGGCCAAATGGAAGTCTCCGGCAGAACCTACAAAAATGAGAGAGGAGAAAAAAGTACACATTATATATAGATAATAATAAATTACTGACCTTTTAAGGAAAAAAAAAATCAAATGAACTGTCCTTCTTTATTAAAATATTTTTGGTATCTTAGAACATTGATTTTTTCCCCCTATAATCTTTGACATTTTATACTTCTAAAATGAAGCCAGGCACCAGGGTACCTCCCTGTATACCAGGCAACTCGGAAGGTTGAAACAGGAAGAATGCTTGAACACAGGCGTTCCAGGTTGTCCTGCACCATGATTATGCCTGTGAATACCCCTGCACCCCAATGTGGGCAACATATTGAGACCTTGTCTCTATAATTAATTTTTTAAAAACTTAAAACAACACTGTGAACTTTTAAAAGCTTAGTATCATTTAAAATAAACCAAAATTCAGAAGTTGATGCTCTGCTTCTGCTCAATTTCACCCATTTTTTGTTATCTCAAGATTGGACTAGTAAAATTTTGTTTCTGTAATGCTGAAAGAACTTATCAACTAGCAAATCACTAGCTCATATCTAAGTATAACAGAAATAAGTAGATAAAGAGTAATTTCTTTGAAACATTGGGGTAAAAAAATAGTTCTTTAAGTTTTATACAGGTAATCAATTACTTTGTAAGGCTCCAGACTTTAGGACTGGTCATCTCTGATTTCACACAAATTAAGGTGGAGCACCAATCTGTTTCACAGCCAGGCTACAGCAGCTACACTGTTAATATCTGCCGAGATATTTCTTCTTATATATGTAGGCTGAATTTCCTAGTTTTTATGACAGATGACACACTTTTAGCTTAACAGCTTTCCTCCCTAAATTAACATACTTTCAATATGTGAAAGTAACCTAACAATGGCTTTATTAAATCATAATGTTCTTTATATTAGAGTTCTGCCTAATTTACAAACCACTAGAAAATGAAAACTGTTACATGAATTTTAACAGACAGTAAGAGGGCTACCAAAAATTACTTTCAAAGTATTGTTAATAAATGTTAGTAAAAGCATCAAGTCAGAATGACAAATGCTATTATCCAAAGATTTAAGACTGAGTTTCTTGCATTTTATCTATCACTATGTAGTAAATTTTACAGACATTAAATATAAAGAAAATAGTTTTAAGTTCACCAGAGGACTAAGTTACTAGATCAATGGGTCACTAATACATATTTTGCTACTTTTAAAAAATCCTCTCTACTATACTGTCTTTTCTGAATTATGAAAACTAGATAAAGATTTTTTGTAACTTTCGCCAGCTGAACTTTTCCAGCTGACTTTCAAAACATTTTCCATAAGTCATTTAACATTTGGATCTCAGGATGCCAGAGAGATCGTCAATTAAATAATACACTCAATTCTGAAGATGTCACATGAAGCAAATTGACAAGTTGGTTATCATTCAGTGAAGATTAACCAAGATGGTGTGAAGACTTGAAGCAATGTTTGAAGGAACCAAGTGAGAGAATCTAAGGCAGCCTGAATTCACAGGAAAAAAATATGAGAGAGCTGCATAGAAAAAAACACCAGAGATTGCAAAGGGTTGCCCTCAAGCATTTAGCAGAGTAGAAACTGGTGCATGTGAGGAACTAGCCAAGATACAGGAAAGGATCACCCAAAAGAATAGGAGCAAACAGCTTCTGATGCTCAACAGGGCTAGAAAATGTGCCTATTTCCTACCAGCCAGGCTGGAAAACCTCACAATTCAGAGGACACTGGGTAGTCAGAAAGGTCTTGTCTTAGTTAAGTGGAGGAATAAATAGCTCTACACTAGACACTGCTCTGGTCCTAAGAAATCTTGATTCAAGACCCCAAAAGACCAAATTGTTTTGAACTAATTTCCCCGTGGTCCCAGAACAAAGCTCAAGGATATTTATTTCTTTATTTAGAGACAGAGTCTCACTGTGTCACCCAGGCTGCAGTGCAATGGCGTGGTCTCAGCTCACTGTAACCTCCGCCTCCCAGGTTCAAGCGGTTCTCCCACCTCAGCCTCCCAAGCAGTTGAGACTACCAGCGTGTGCCAGCACACCCAGCTAATTTTTGTTATTTTTAGTAGACGGGGTTTCACTATGTTGGCTAGGCTGATCTCGAACTCCTGACCTTGTGATCCACCTGCCTCAGCCTCCCAAAGTGCTGCGATTACAGGCATGAGCCACTGCGCCCAGCCACTCAAGGGTGTTTATAGGAACACCTGAGAAGGTAAAATTTACAATGTCTGACATTGATTCAAAAATTAGCAGGCATGAAAAGAAGCAAAACAGAAAGGCAGTAGAAATCTGAAGAAAAATAAATTAACTGAAATAGACCCAGAGTTGACACTGAAGTTAGAGTTGAACAGTTATTACAATAATATTCCATCTGTTTGAAAAGCTAAGTAGAATATGAAAGATAAAACCTATCACCTCTGGATAATATCTAGAGATGAAAACTATAATGTTTGAGATAAAACAATACACAGCATGAAACTGATGGCAAATTAGACATTTTGGAAGAAAAAATTACTAAAATTTAAACTACAAAATAAACTATATAAATGAAATAGAAGAACTGCTAAAAAACGAACGGCACACCAGTGAGCTGTGACAACTTTAAGAAACTTAATATACATGTAATCGATGTCTGAGAGGAGAAAGAAAAAAAAAAAAAAGTGAAGCAATGACAGTTGAAAAAAATTCCAAAATTGATCAAACTAAAACCTACAGAACCAAGAAGCTTAACGAACTCCAAGTGTAAGAAATATGAAGAAAATGACTCCTAGAACACTATAATAAAAGTACTCAAACTTGTGACCAACAGAAAAATTTTAAAGCACTCAGAGAAAAAAGAAACATTAAATATAACAAACGAAAGATAAGTATGACATCAGATTTCTTGTTGGAAACAATGCAAGTGAGCAGATAATGGAGCAAAAACTTTAAAGTACTAAAAGAAAAAACTGTTAACTTAGAATTCTACACTCATTAAAAATGTCTTTCAAAAAGATACTTGCACATGCATATTTATGGCAGAACAATTTGCTACTGCAAAAATATGGAACCAGCCCAATGCCCATCAATCAATGAGGGGATAAAGAAATTGTGGGATATGTATACATACACCATGGACTACGACTCATCCACAAAAAGGAACAAAATAATGGCATTTGCAGTGACCTGGAAAGAACCAGAGACCATTATTCTAAGTGAAGTAATATAACCAAGCTTTGTATGTTTTCAGTCTGAAGTGGGAGCTAAGCTTTGAGGATCCAAAGGCATAAGAATGATAGCAGTGGACTTTAGGGACTCAGAGGAAAGGGTGGGAGGGGTAAGGGATAAAACACTACGAGCTGAGTAGAGTATATACTGTTGAGGTGATGGGTGCACCAAAATCTCAGAAATCACCACTAAGGAACATATTCATGTAACCAAACACAACCTGTTCCCCCCAAAACCTATGGAAATAAAAATAAAAAGCAAAAAAATTTTTTTAAAACTTTCAAAAATGAGAGTGAAACAAATACTTTTTCTGATATGCAAAAACTGAAGGTATTTATCACCAGCAAATGCTGTCATTTAAATATCCCCTCCAAGTCTCAGGTTGGAATTTAACTGCAATTGTGATGGTATTAAGGGGTAAGACCTTTAAGAGGTGATTAGGTTACAAGGGATCCAACCTCATATCACAGTGGTGGGTTCCTGATAAAAGCATAAGTTCAGCCCATTTCTCTCTGTCTCAAGCACTCTCACCTACTCTTACCCTGCTCATCACGTGATGCTTCCTGCCACGGCAAGACCCTCACTAGATGCCAGTGCCATGCTTTTGGACTTCCCAGCCTCCAGAACTGTGAGCCCAATAAACTTCTATTCTTTATAAATACATAATCTGTGTCATTTCTGTTATAGCAACAGAAAACAGACTAAGAACAAAATATGGATTCAAGGGAACAAAGAGCACCAAAAATAACAACATCTTATTATTTAAATGTCTTTAAAAGATAATTGACTATTTAAACAAAAATAATATAAAACATTATGGAGCTTGTATTTAACAACATAAATATAAGTAAAACATAAACCAACAGTAGTATAAAGGCCAGGAGCGGAGAAATGTTAAGAACACTATTATAAGGTTCTTGTATGAAATGGTATATCTACTATCACTTGAAGACAAACTCTGATAACATAGCTGTTAATAATAATGAATGTAAATGACCTAAGCACATCAATTAAAAGGCAGAGATAGACTGAACTTTACAACATCAAGACCTAATTATATTCTGCCTATTAAAAAACCTTCCACCTAAGTTTTCCCACAGAATTCAAATTTATTTTCCTAAATGTCAATCTGGTAGATGTAGCCTAAATGTGCAAGCTTTCCCCCAAATTTCTCTACCTGCTCTACCCAAGTAAGATATGGCTTTTTTTTTAACTTTTATTTAAGATTCAGGGAGTACATGTGCAAGTTTGTTACCTGCCTACGTTGCATGATGCTGAGGTTTGCGGTATGAATTATTCCACTGCCCAGGTGCTGAGTACAATACCCAACAGTTAGTTTTTCAACACCTACCACCTTCCTCCCTCATCAGTACAGCAGTCTTCAGTGTCTACTGTTGTCATCTTTACATCCATAGTAACTGATGTTTAATTCCCACTTGTAAGTGAGAATATTCAGCATTAGATTTTCTGTTCCTACATTAGTTCACTTAGGATATTATCCTCCAGCTGCATCCATGTTGCTGCAAAGGACATGATTTCATTCCTTTTTTATGGCTGCATAGTATTCCATGGCATATATGTACCACATTTTATTTATGCAATCCACTGTTGATGGGCACCTAGGTTGATTCCATATTTTTGTTAGTGTGAATAGTGCCGTGATGAAACATATGAGTATATGTGTCTTTTTGTTAAAACAATTTCTTTTCTTTTTGAGATGTACCCAGTAATGGGACTGCTGGGTCAAATGGTAGTTCTGTTTGAAGTTCTTTAAGAAATCTCCAAACTGCTTTCC